AACTGGATGGTGACACGAGCCAAGGACTGAAGAGCCGGTGGGGCCACAACACCTCTAGCAGCACCTCTTGTTTTTTAACTAGAATAATAATGTCCTTCTCCCTCTTTCATTTCAAAGATCCATTTTCTTTTATTAATTATGTAACTAACATTTCTCCCAAACATATTTCAGGCATGAGATGTGGTCTTAGAACTCTGAATTTACTTTAGATAATCTGAAGGTTTTGGCAATACACGTGCATCCTTTTTACACAAATAAGCTTTCCCCGATCAACAGCCTTCAACTTGCTGATCATATTCTATTAAGAAATCTACTGAAATCCAAAACAATATATTGGAAAGGTAAAGGAGGAAGGAGAGATCAGACAATGCTGGCAATCACAAGATCTAAATTTAACATCTGGGTTTTACTTTGTCTTTAAATGAGCTTGGCTATTCCAGAAATACACGTTGGCATAAGTTGACTTTAACTGGCTGCTAAAATTTGGAAAGTATTATACACCATCACCTCACCAGAAGCTGTGTTTAGGTAAACAGCTTCAGCTGTTGCAGGGTTTTGTGTAAGACAGCAAGCACTTTTCTCAGCCCAGTTGTGCTTAATAAATACACGGTTCTGAGGTGCTAGACACATAATGGTCACTAAAGAGCCACCAAAGACAGTGGCTCTGGGTTTGTTGTCAGAATCTTGTGGGAGTATGTAAAAATGGAAGCAAGCTTTACTAAGAATTACACAAAAGTGAGAAATTGAGGAAAAGTGAGAAAATTAAGGAAAAATAAAACTTGAGAGGACTTCCATTCATCCAGGAAAGAGGGTGGGGGAAGCTATGGAATTCCTTTCTTGCAAATTGTATGTCCATGACAGAAATTTGACCAGGGCTGAAGTAAGCTCTATTAAGATTGGTTCATGCTTTGGGCTAAGGTGGGCCAGAACCATTAGGGTATGTCTTTCTTGCCCAACCAAGGAGATGATCATGCTCTGTTCATGGGATGCTGACCCTCTTATGGATGGTTGAAGCCCTACAATGTCTGACTCCGTCTTTGCTGGGGTTGTAGCTTGACACTACTGATCACTAGGTTGGCATCACTACCCTCCGATTGTTGCTGGTATCTCTGGTGATGCTAATTACACTAAGCTCTCATTGTTCCCACATTTATATGACAAGCATGTAGCTTGACTGTGGAAAAAGAATTAATGATCACAGTCAACAAGATGTAGCTGTAGATTTTCTTGGTTACCCCACATTTAGCTCTTTGGGATGGTCTGAAGTAGTCTCTTCCACAGAAGTCTCTCATTAGAAGCCTTCCTGGCTGGCAATTTAATCTGTTACCATCAGCTGCATTAGAAGCAAGAAAATAAGAAGGCACAAAATCTGCACATGTCTTTCCCTGGCTTTGGGGACTTTGTGTGTGTGTGTGTGTGTGTGTGTGTGTGTGTGTGTGTGTGTTTGTGTGTGTGTGTGTGTGTGTGAGCAGGGGAGGGTGCTGTCTTTCCCTCCCCCCCCAAGCTCCTGCCTTCTCGTGTATTGAGGTCCCTCACTCATGTGCTTCTATATTCCAAATATTCCTTGGTTAACCCTTAATCTTCCTTTTAACCCCAGCCTTGCTGTGATATGTCAACAATCTGAGTTTTCACCATGGGTATTTTTTTTCTCTTACCACCCACAGGAGGATAGCTTCTGCATTAGAGCCACCTTAGTTCTCCCTGGCTAGGAGACGGCTACTTTTGATACTTTTTATACTTACTTATAAATTGCTTTATAAGGCAACATAGAGTATTTGCAAATCTCAACATCCGGGTCCTACTGCCAACAGAGTCCCCCACCTCACCTCTTGCCAGAGCAGAAAATTCCTTATGATGATTTCAGAGGTGAGACAGTTGAGGACGTCACCTTCACACATTTCCCATGATGCTCCAAGCCTTCAGAGCACTTTTTTTCGGCCTCACCAGTTCCCACCACGCCCCCAACAGCCCTTGCGCCCCGCCTTGATGATCACAAGGCAGATGCTGGGTTATTCTTGCCCTGAAGGACGACATCACATACACAGAAGCCAGCTTCCTAAACATCCTGCCACACCAGGAATTCTGGAACTACGAGACCACCCCCCAAAACACACAACCCTCCTTCCGTGAAAGATCCTCAGCACCTCACTGTTAGGCATACCTCAGGACTTGATGCAGGAAGGAACGGAGAACAAGACTTTAGGGCAATGCTGGGCAGACTTGCAGGGAGGGACTGCTGGTTTGATTCCGAGGTCTCAGGCGAGTTCTCACCTACCTCAGCCAGTTTGTAAGAACTGGCCCATAATACAAGCAGAAGGAAACACTGAGCAGAAGTGATATGATGCAATCCAAGCTATTGCAAGGCAGAATTTAAAGCAGTTCTTGAAAGCTGGGTGGCATACTAGGAAGCACTGAGGAGACCTGGGCACTTTAGAATGGAGAGATACCCAAAAGCAACCCAGGAGGTCTAGGAAACCTGCTCAGGAAATGAAGATTTATTGACAGCTTAGAGGATCAGCAGTGGACAAGTGTACATGGTCTGTGTGCTGTCATCTCATTTCTACAGTACAGCATGGGAGATTGCCCAACATCCTTCATATACCTTCACCCAGCTTCTTCAAATATCCCGACTGTCCTTTCTAGATATCTGTAAGCTGTGTCAGGAGTCTGGAAAGCCAGGTGGTTTTTGCTTGTTTGTTTGTTTTGTTTTGTTTTTTTGACCGTTGATTTTGTTTTTGTGGTGGTGCTGGGGATTAAACCCAGGGCCCTGTACATGCCAGACCAGGGTTCTATAACTGGGCTACATAGTCAGATGACTTTCAAAGCAACGTGTTGACACATGTTGCTTTTGCCCATTTTAGTAAGAATAATATTAAAGTCATCAACCTTCCTTATGATGCTTTGTTTCACAACTAGAAACACTTTGATTTGAAAGTGGTCCTCTGCATCTGTTTTCAAACAAGAAAATTCTTCACTCTTCTAAAAGATGGATGGAGAGCCAGAGGGGAAAGTGAGGGACTATTAGCAGCCTTAGTATCACTACCTGACATCCTCGCACAAACCCACATCTGGAGACTCAACTGGGCTCCTTAGTGCCTTGCTACACCCAAGCACCTGCGGCTATAAGCTCACTGAGCCCTCACCCACCTTCATGGCTTCAGGTGCCTGAACTGCCAGTGCATAGGCAGCCTTAGAACTGTCAGAAAGGCCCGAGAAATGGAAAAAGGAACTGAAAAGGATCAGAAGCTGTCCACTATTGGGCAGGATCAGGACAAAGTGAACAACTGCCCTGTGATGGATTTTCTCTCATGGGTAGAGGCTTATATAGTCCACAATCACTCAAAGGTGGAAGTTCATTGCCCTGTCAACCAATGGTGAGTGAAACAGTCTGAAAAGAGAGAGTAATGGACTCTCAAAGTGGCAGGGAAGAAAAGTGTATCTATGCACCACAGGGAAGAAAAAACATCTTCCCAAGCCAAAGATAGTAAAAAGAACTTCTCATGAGGTGAAATAACACAGGGAAAACTGATGTCCTTTGGGCTTTCTTGTTCCTAAGCCCCTTTGACCTTTTGTGGATCATGGCTACTCTCAAGCAAAGGAATTCGGGCAAGGCATGACTCTGGCTCACCTGAGATTCCATGTGTTTAAGACAGGGTCTTTTGTAGTCCAGGCTGGCCTCAGACTCCCCATGTAGTTAAAAATAACCTTAAACTTCTGATCCTCCTGCCTCTCCCTCCCATTGTTGGCATTACAGATGTGTACCACTAATGCCCAGATTTATTTGGTCCTGATGATGGAAACCAGGGCCTTCTGAATGCTACAGATGCATCCTACTAAGTACATCCATAGCCCATGAGATTGCGTAACTTGGTTTGTAAAATAAATGTGCCTTTCATAGGATAGTATAACTCAGTGTGATACTATGCCAGTATCACAGTAAATGGAAGCCTGTTGGCAAGAGGAGGGCTGATAAGGGCAGTGACATCTGCCTTGGGTCTTCTCCACATCCACATACCTACAAATGACCAGATGCATGTCCTAGAATAGTCCCACTAAAGGACACAGTATCTCTATTTCATAAATCAAAATACCCTCTATATAGATTAGATAGCTTCTACAGTTATTAATAAACTTGAGTCAGGCTTTGAGGGTTTTTCCAGTTAAAGCACGATGATCCTGGGTGCCTGGGACTGGTTGGTAGAGAGAACTGTAAACAATTTAGAGAATGACACCCTCTCTAGGAAATTACCTGCTGAAATGATCTCTTCTGTGATTAATTGGCACAACATATTATCCCCAAAGATTATGAGTACTTTAGGAACGGAGGAAATGTTTTGTTTATTATCATGCTTGTGTGTGCACATGCTCAGGTTGTCAGGCTTGGATATGGCAAGCACTTTCCAGCTGAGCTATGAGCTATCTTGCTAGCCATATTTTTTTCCTGACCAATGAGAGCAGCTACATAACTTTAAAAAAAAAAGCCTCAAGAATTCTAAGCTAGCAGTTTCCACCGCTGACCTAGTTTTCTCTCTTGTTGATACCACGGTTTAGCTAATGAAATATAAGCCAGATGTTTTCTGCTTTGGAGTAAGTAGCAGTAGCCAGGCATAGGTAATGGTAAAGATGTAAATGCTCTCATTTAAAGATGAACCTTACTGTGAAGTTTTATTGATCTAAAGATGGGTGGATTGATGGCTCCAAGGTGGCCTTGCGTATACTAGGCAAGTGGTCTCTCACTGAGCTACCTCAAGTCATGAAGACCTGTCATAGTCTCTAGACTACTTGATAGGTTTATTTGATAAGTTTTCCTTAAATGGTTTCCTTGTACATTTTCACTTAAATAATTCTTATAACAAATAATAACTGTGATATTTTTTATTGAATATGTTCTTAGGACTCCAGAAAATGTAGATATCTCTGAAATGTGCAGTATCAAAATGAGAACATTTATGTGACACACAAAGATCTGTTTTTATAACCAAAGAATTAAAGTTATTTACTCATTGATTTTCCGCAACAATAATAGTTGTTCCTTGGACTTCATCACCAACCTCACTCATTGCCTCAACAGGGACAGGCTCCATGATGAGCTCCTTACCCAGCTCCTCAGGAGGGAGGAAACTCGTCTCCACAGGAGAGAGGAAGGTTGTCTGCTCAGGAGGGAGAAAGCTTGCCTCCTCAGGAGGGAGGAAGTTTGACTCATCGGTTAAGACAGTTTGATTGGAGTCTGCAGAATAATCCACAGATTTAGATTTCGACCTTCTCATGCTGGATCGCTTCACCTCTGAAGAAGCTTGGCCCCAAAATGAGCTGCTCTCTGCACTTTTGGAAAATGATGTATCTGACACACCTTCTGACGGGTGGAAGTAAGACAGAGTTGCCAGCTCTGGGTTGACTGAATACTGACTCTCATAACTCTTGTCACTACAAAGAAGAGAACACACACCAAGAGTGGTCTTTAGTTGCATAGACTTATGACTCAAATCAGAAGTTAGAACAGAAATGGATTATGTTCAACGTGTTACTTAATTAATGCAAATGGTATAGTTTTTTTTTCACTATAGTTATATTGTACTTAATCCTCCTGTGAATGAACCAGCAATATCTAGTGTATGCAGCCTATATCAAACTGCAATATTAGAATTTAAAAGTCAATGATAAAAGTTGTCTTAATAAATGTTTAACAAGAAACACAAAGTGAAGCTGAATTAGGGAGAACAAATATCTAACTTTACAGGTTTAATGAATCAGAGAAATACATCATCAAAGCACCACAGTCAAAAGAGTGATATTAATGATAACTGTGAAGGTTAAAAAGCAATTGTGTGGGGTCATTTAAAAGTATTCTATGATACTGTACAAAAAAAGTTGTAAAGAGATCAATCAGACCCTCAGGTTCAAATGGAATTATATATATATGTTTTTTCGAGACAGGGTTTCTCTGTATAGCCCGGGCTGTCCTGGAACTCACTCTGGAGACCAGGCTGGCCTCAAACTCATAAATCCACCTGCCTTTGCCTCCCAAGTGCTGGGATTAAAGGCGTGTGGCCACGACTGCCCAGCAGAATTTAATATTTTTTATAAGAAAAGACAAATGATTATTTAAGACAAGTATCTAGTCCTCAAGGCATAAAATTGCAGATTTTCTGTCTGTTTCAAGGAATTAAGCAAGGCTACCAACAAAATTTAAAATGTTAAATCCCAGGCAAATGAGTGACTTAGAAGAGAATAAATAGCCTTCGTGTTCCAGAGCTATTTTACAGGGATACAGAGGGAGGAAGCATTGTCTAGCCTCTATTTCCTTCCTAATTAACTGTGTGTGTTTATTTAAAATAGTGAGATATTCCTTGAGACAGGGCCCACATTCCTAATGCTTAGAGGAAGTGGATTCAAGCTGAATGTCTTACACATTACTGAAGAGGAAACCTATTTCTATCAATCCACTAAAGATAACCGGGAGAAAGCGCGGCACCATGGACTAGCTCTCAAGACAGAAAAGGTCAGCAGGCTTACCGTAGGTGTCTCAGTTTGTACAGTGTGACAAAACAGAATATCAAGAGGGGAATTAAGAGAATGAGTGTCATCAGTGAGATTCCCAGCATTAGTTTGAGCTTGATTTCCTCTAGCTCTGATAGTTGGTCTTCACTGGTCTTATTCAAATCAGAGGCTGCGAGGAAAGAAAGAAAACACAATGGAAAACTGAATGTCGTGCATGCTTTCCTCGAGGAATAAGGAACACAGAATGTATCTGCAGTAATCACAGCTCACCCTTCCTATGCCACACAATGGCTATGAGAAGGCCACATAAACACTTTCTCTCTAGTTTTCATAACGGTTTTGAAGTAGCTGTACCTAATTCCATTTTATAGATTCACAGAAGTTTGCAAATCTTCTACTAATCAAAATGTGGTTTTAAGTCCAAGGTATTCATGACAATTTTTTTTTTTATGTAGCAGCCTTTCTTCTTGGCTTTACTTTGAAACCACTTTAAATAACTTATCATCTCAAAAGAGATTATTAGAACAATTTACAAGGCACTGGTGCTCCAGGAAGGACAGGTGTACGCGCTGCCGCTGCCATGCACTGGTTATTCTTTGGAACTAAAAGTGTGCAGTGTTGCTAGTTTCCTCTATAAGGCTTAAGAGATAAGTTTGCCATTTTATTAAGAGACAAACTCAGTGGGCTTGACATTGCAAAAGAAATGGAAATAACTTTTTAAAATTCCTGAAATGAGTTAAATTACAGAATCATGTCTGGCTCCAGAAACATTGTGAATCTGGTAAAAATCCCATGAAACCGCTTTTCTGTCAGATGTTTGGCCTTCTTGAGAATATACTGAAAATATACTTAAAATATACTGAATGTTGAAACCGTCCTTCTCACGTTCGCCCATGCCTGCTCCCAGTGTTCCAGGCATCCTCACTACTTTCTAGGTAATATTTAGGTAATAAGCAATTGCAAGTATATATCCCCATGTTGATGTTCTCTGACTTTTGAACACTTTAATGATTGTACCTGTGATATAATCCAGCAGTAGAGCTCTTGTTAGCATGACTGAAAGCCTAGGTTCAGTCTCTAATACCAACCAACAAACAAAAATTATATTGTCTATGTAGAATGAAATGTGTACAGTTGTGAATGATTGCTATTTAATCCATTTGAGAATACTCAAGCAGATTTTATTAAAATGAACTGTCCTCCTTAAATACACCTATATTTCCTATGGTGGGTTGAATAGATACGGCACACACAGATTCATACGTTTCAATGTTTGGCTATATGGAGTGACACTATTAGGAGGTGTGGCCTTGTTGGAGGAAATGTGTTACATGTGTTTGAGGTCTCCTGTGCTCAAGTTCTGACCAATGTATAATTAGAGCCCATCCTGGCTGTCTGCAGAAGATGCCCCTTTCTGCTGCCTTAGGATCAAGTTGGACAACTTTCAGCTCCATGCATCATGTCTGCCTGGATGCTGTCATGCTTCCCACCATGATGATAACGGAATAAACCTCTGAAACTGTAAGCCAGCCTCAAATATTGTCCTTTCTTTATAAGAGTTGCCTCGGTCATAGTGTCTCTTCATAGCAAAAAATCCCAAACTAAGACAGTTTCTAAGTATTTGGGGGGTCGGGGAAAGGATTTGATTATTCTGGAATTCCCTAAGTAGAACCGGCTGATGATTACCTTGAACTCCCAGAGATCTGCCTGACTCTGCTTCCCTAATGCTAGGATTAAGATGCTGCAAAGTCTTTATAAGTGGGTATGTTCATGTAGTTATCTCAAAAGATCATCTAGTTGCTGTTCTGTCCCTCCCAAATCAAGCCACATCCCCCACCTGATAGAGAGAGAGACTGAGTTAGAGAGAACCGCTATGACTGTGTAGCTCTCATTGAGTTCTTCCCTAACCCTAGTCGGCCCTATCTCCTAACATTTAGGACCAAGACAGCCTTTGACTGAAACTGTACTCTCTCATTTACAATTTAGCCTTTCTCTGTGCCAGAAGCCACATAGGTTAAGCCAGACTAGGGCAGTACTATAAAATTTCTTGTCTACCACACTGTAAACAAAGGTCAGAAACTGTCTTTGTTCTCTGATCTGAAGGAAGCTGATTCAGAGCTGCCTATAGCCATGAAGATGTATCCTTCTTACATTCCAGGAACTGAAAGTTCTATGTATTTTCAAGGCCCTATCATGAGTGCCTACAGTCCATGATGCTGTTTCTCCTAATTGCTTTTACTTCAGGGCTTCATTGTGGTTGCATAGGACTCTCCTAACAAAGGACATATGAAGGGTAGTTTGCCCTGGTCTCCCTTTCCTGCAAATCTTTTACTCTTTCTAACACAGTATATTTAACAAAGACCAGTGATTTGTCATCACTCCACTTTCTTAAAATAGCTTAAGGCAAAAGCTACTTTTCATAAATACGTCATTACACAACTGAGCAAACAGATCTTAGATATGCCACAAAACATACGTCATTTTCAATTATTTACTTGTAGGGCGAAGGGTTTGAAGAAAATTAAAACATTGCCTTTTAATACAACTTTACATCCAAACTAAGAGTTTGGTTCTAGGGACCCATATCAAGAGGCTCCTACCCACCTGTAACCCCACTTCCAAGGGATCTCACACCCTCTTCTGGCCTCCATAGGTACATACATACATGTGGTACACGCACACACACACACACACACACAAACACACACACAAACACACAAAGTCTTAACATTAAAAAGTTAGAAATTGCACTTGGGAGGCAGAGGCAGGCAGATTTCTGAGTTCAAGAGTTCGAGGCTAGCCTGGTCTACAGAGTGAGTTCCAGGACAGCCAGGGCTACACAGAGAAACCCTGTCTCGAAAAACCAAACCAAAAAAAAAAAAAAGTTAGAAATCAAAAGAAGGGTTGGATATGGGAAACTCTACAGTTTTTGCTATTGATTTCTTTAAACTTAAAACTAGATAAAGAAAAGCCTATTTTAAAAAGACAATTACATATATAATACATATATAATCTTTATTTTATAATACACACACACACACACACATATATCACATATCAAGCTGTTTCAACATTGTATGCCAGAAGACTGGAAGATAGTAATAGTCATTGGTTAAAGAGCAACAACAAGAATACTTAAGAGGTATAATTTGTCTAATGTAGTCAGTGTCCTCTCTGATGTGGCATTAGCTGTCAATTCCACTCTTCCACATACAGTACCCTTTGCTATGAGAAGTTGCTTCACAATGCAGCCTCTAAAATTCAGGTGACATCTATGTATCTCTTAATTAAAGTGCTTTGTTCTTACCTGGAATTGGTTGAAAAAATAGATCTTTATCGTCCATGCTCACTGTTGTTTCATTTATAGCTGTTAAGACAATATGTTGATGTTATGCTAAGTAACATTAATTTACTAAAATGTTTGAATGTGTAAAAAGGTGTGCGCATAATATGTAAAGTCTATTCTTACTGGTCATTCTAGTGTTGTTTTGTAAAGTGAATACCTCTTTAACTCATGTTCAAACAGAGCTTATGTAATGTATGTGTATTTTCCATAGGGTCCATCATATTATTAGGGAAATTAACAAACTATTTAATACTGTGCTTAGGGGCCAGTTCAAGGTATGACTGACTGAACCTGTGAGGAAACTAAAAATATTTGAAGCTATCTCAAAACTGACAAATGACCTTGAAGATTTTACAAATACTGACTTTATGGTAACAAAGAAATCTCAGTGAGTAGAAAATCATGAATGTAAATACAAAGCATACAAATAATGATGGTCAAGTGAATATTGTGTGTATTTCATTTTTATAATGTGTATGTGACACATATATTACTTATGTTAATGTGAATCTCTGTATCTGCATAGAATACATGCAAACATAGATTGATCTGTGCATTATACATGTGTCCTTGTCTATTTATGCTGTACACATTACTTTCATGCACAAATATACACTGATACTTTTCACTTATATGTGCATCTCCGTGTGTTTATGCACACGCTGCTCTAAACATAAAGGAGCTGCATTGGGCAAAAAAACCTGGTCTAAATGCTGAATCATGAACTCGGATGAGTTTTTGATCTGGGCTCATCTGTTTCTGGAGTCAAAGCTAGAAAATAAGATCATGATAGTTACCTGCAACACAATGAAAGTTAGAGAAACCAACTTCCCTATACCAGCTAGTGTCTTCTTGATTTTAAGATATACTGTAGATTGCAACCTTTCCAGGAGGACATACTTCTGGGGTGCAGAAGACTAAGAAACTGCAACTTTTATCATTTCTCTGAGTACAACATTTGCTTTTACAAGGAGCAGTAAAGACGTATGTGTTGATTATTGTTAGAAATATTTAAATCAGTCTTGTCTTTCTTATATAAAATGTTATGAATGTCTTCTTATATAAACTGTTAGAAAATAAAAATATTTCCCCAGTTACTTCACTACATTAATTTACCTTTAGCTAACATTGTCCAAAACGCAGGCACATTGAGGGTTGAGGCTGTTCGAAAGAGAGAACAGGAGTAACGGATGAGAATCTACTGCCTGCAATTAATTACACACTCACTCAAAAACCTATGAAAGTCATCTTGGATTGTATAGCTTCACATATATTTCATAAGGAACAATGATCTCGGCACGAAAATAAAACAGTAATTTTGAGTTTACAGCCTCCCATTCCCGAGACCCTCCCTCAGATAATCTTAGAAAACATTAGTTATTGTGACTAGAGATACATTTATTCCTTAATCAAGCAGAAAAATGTACATTGTCATCAAAAATATGAAAATATACCCATATGCTTATGTAAAACTTCCATAACATTCACTTCCCATTGCTTGTCAGGTGCATTTGAAAATAGACTCTTACATATTTGCCACTTAAAAGATTCCAGGTGACTCTAAACAATAGCAGCATGGACTCTTTAGGCAAGCTATTCACTTATGTCATGTTCAAAGGAGTGAAAGATAGTGGCATAAGCCATACAACAATATGCTCCAGATATCAAATACAGTGTAGTAGTCTTAATACTTTTATGAGAGGGTTCACTAGGTATTTCTTCTTCTTCACTGGCAGTTGGTTTGCTGGCTTTACCTAGAAAAAGGAAAAATTATTTTCAGCATATTAAAATACTGACCAATTGTCAAGACAAGGAGAAAACAAAGGAAAGAGAATGACTTTTTTTTTTTAAATCAGAAATGAAGAAGAGGAAGAAAGGCCTTGGAGAATGGAGTTTTTGTGAGTATGGGATGTGTGAAGTAGGGTTAATATGTCTTTATTCTATGAAAGAGAGTAAAAGCATGTAGCTTAGGCCTTTAGAGGTCATGGAGGGCTATTGGGTAAGATGGTTGGCTTTGGCAGGCTCACTATAGGCAGGCCTTAGTGTTAACCTCAGCCTATGATGCATCCTTGTGGAACTGCATCACAGAACATTTGGGCTGTACTGGTTAACTTAGCCGTATGTTCCATATGGGGTACCATCCCTCAAGAGGGAGATTTCTCTGGAGGGACACAGTGAATTCATAGAGCTTACAAATCCAGCACAGGTAATCCTGTTAATGAGAAAGGATAGAAAAGGGGTCCTAAACTGATTCAGACAGGACTCAAAACAGGAGACTAATTCCAGCTACAATAAAACCATTAGTTCCTACTAAGGAGAGGACCACCCAATTGTCTCCATTTGCCTTACAAGGATTATGCCCAAGCAATTTATCATTAGTGAAAGCTATCCTGGAGCTGTTTATTTGATGGGCTTGCTCTTCTGGAATAGTCTACATGTAGAAGGTACTTCAACTCTTCTTGACAATCTTCTAGTTATGGGGATGGAATCTAGGATCTTGGATTTTCTTCCTTGGGTACTATGGTTCTGAGTAACTGGTATTGTTGGAAATGTGAGGTGCCTGGGATACTTAACAGTCAGTTAACTATACCTTATTCCACACAACTCAAGATGTTTGATCTACACAAGCAAGATGCCCCTGATGAATTAGCTGAGTTTTCCTAAAGTGAGTGCCAAAGGCTTGAAATTGCTCAAATACATTATTGTCAAGTAAATTTGTTAATAATTAGGCATTAATGAGCCTGCCCCAGTATTGAAATTGCCATAGCCAGAAAAAGGTCACTTTTTGATATTTCACATCATTCAAAATATAAAAGTATAAAAGAAAAAAACCCCCACAAACATGGATTTAAGAAAGGTGAGTAATAGCCTGGAATATTAAATTTAGTTAATGTTTCTTTCCATGCAAATTGAAAAACAGGAGGTTTAGAAATGAGAAATTCTGCCTGCCTGCCTTCTAGAATGGTCACTGTAACGGGCATAGAGCTTTACAAAATGTTACAGAAGAAATGTTTGTGTGGGGGGGGGAAGATGATAAAACTCTGCTGGCTTCCAGAAGTACAAGATGAACTGTAGAAGTGAAATCCTGGGCCTCCCCCATTTTCCCTGGGGCTGCTTTGGAGTCCTGTAGAAGTGAAACCCTGGGCCTCCCCCATTTTCCCTGGGGCTGCTTTGGAATCCTAAGCTCTTGGTATGTGCAGCACTGAATGTGCATTCAGTACTTACTGGTCTTCACAGCAAATTTCACGCCAGTTGTGGCAGTCACAGATATTTCAGAATTCGTACCAGGTACATTTGGTGTGGTGAACACATCTACAAAGAAAATCCCAAGTCTTTAGCAACTAGGAAATCACTTCTTACTCCCTGCGTTTTTTTTTCTTCATAATATTTTTTTTAACTTTAAAAAGTATCCACTAAAGAAAAGTATGACTAAAGAAAAAATAACTATAAACAAAAATTATGAGACTTTTTTTCTTCTTCAAAGGAAGTGGCGCAAGGGGTAAGGTGAAAATTCAAGAGGAAAAATGTCAAACTAATTTTCTTAGGATACATAACCATGTGAAACAATTGTTGTGGAAATTCATAGAAAACATGTAAGTGTGTATAAGATGCCAAAATCAATTTTTGGAAGAGCAATATTGTCACTAAGTTCTAACCTTGGTGCCATGAGACAGGATTAGAGATATGGTTGTTGAAAATATAAGAAACCAGATTGGAATATAGTGTGCTCTTAATTGGCTTTGTCTAATGTCATTGCACAAGAGGGAAATGTGCATACAGAAACAGGAAGAATATCACAGGAAGAGGGTGAGGCACAGACTAAGCTGATGCCTCCACAGCGCTGGAACACCTTGGCCACAGCGGCTGAAAGAAGCAAGGAAGGACTCCCAATCTTTGGTTGGGATCGTGCCCTTGTCTGGTTTTTTGATTTTTTCCAGCTTCTAGAAGAATAGGAAAATAGTTTTCATTGTCTTGATCCTTTTAATTTGAGGTGTTTTGTTTCAGCAGCCTTCAAAACTGACTCACACCTCAAAATAAGCTTTGGCTAACTTGCCCTGGAATTAGATTAGTTTTTCACTAACGTGAGGAAGAGTGACAGCACCATGATGAACCATGGTCAGCAAAAACAGTGGCAAAGACAGGCTTGTTCCATTTCATAACACCTCATAAAGAGTTGTAGAAAGCAAGGCATTAACTTTACACACTGAAATATCTACAAAGTGAATTAGAAATTCAAAACTGGAAAACAAACCATGATGGGAGGTTACAAACCAAGCAGCAGCAGCAGCAGCAACAACAACAACAACAACAACAACAAAAACAAAACAAAAGACAAACCAAACCAGCACCATTATATTTTTGCATAAACTTTTGATAGATGCTATTAACTTTAAAAACTTACATTGTTTTATGTCTTTATAGTAATTGCCTGTTTTCTCATTGGTAGGAGTATCAATTTCATTGTCTTCTGATTTATGTAAAATCATAAAATCCCTATCTGTATTATTTTCTTCATCTGCATAATACTGTTCTTCATCCGAAAGCATACCACCAGGGTCCTCTAGAAAGGAAACATGACATACCATTGAAATTAGTTTTCCTTACTGCTTCCTCCCACTGAAATTTTTTTCACAATTAGAGACTGATATTTAAAAGTTAAATTATATTACACCCCCATCAATCATCATGAAGAGAATTTCCATATTCTGACTTTCTATCATTGAGAGTCAACCTTCTGACTGACTAATTTCAAATATTTACTTACGTTCCACAATGGGCTGTAGACTGATAATGTCTGAGAGGAAAACCCCAAATAAGAAGATCAACAGTATAAAATCCATCGGGAAATTGGTGTGATTTATCCAGCAATCTACTGTCTCCTCAGGATTTTCTTCTTGTGGCCCAGCAGGTCCTAATACTCAGTGGGACATTATGACATCACTGTTCTTGGGAAACAGAATGCCAGGGAAATGCCCAGAGCTTTGTGACTCCATCTCATGGCAATTTCACGTTTGGTGTTATAATGTTTTTAGTTTTTAAAAATAAACTTTAACTTTTTTTCTGGGAAAGATGATACATGTTTTTTCATGAAATAATGTTATCTATTAGTCCATGACTTAAAAAAATTGTTGATAACGACACAAAAACTTAAAGAATTTGGGGATTTTGTTTTTAATGACATGTTTTAGATAGCTGCAGTCAGTTAAAAACAAAACAACAATAATAAAACAAACAAAATGAAAATCTAGTCAGAAAGCAAAATTCAAAACTCAATCCAAATACCATACAAGTTCTGGTTCAAAACCATTTTACTATAAATCTGTAATAAAAGTTTCATGAAACATCTTTTTTTTTAATTTTAAGATGTATGTTCATTATAAAATATAACATATATTTTGTTCAAACTGTTTTTCAATGAGGCCCAACTTCTTCACATTTCAACAGAGAAAGGGATCCAAATACTTAGCTAGTTAAAAGGAGACTTCAACATGAATAGCAGTGTACTTACATAATACAATGTAAGTACAATGTAATTACAGATTACTCATACTAACTATGAGCAATAAAGACAGAAGACTAATGGGCATTATTATATGATCAACAGAATTTGAAGTGTGCTAACTTTATTATCGATGATAACCCCTCCACAGAGGATAATATTCATATTGAAAACATAAGCATCAAGAGAAACATAACATCACAGGACTTTTGTTTGTCTTCAGTAAAGGGGAAGGTTCAAGTATAACCTGTGGTCCTTCACTGATGGTGCCTGGTGATGTGGAGCAGAGTCATCAGAGTCTCATTGACAGTTAAAGGATGCAGAGATAATGTATCCAAAGGAAAGGTGGACAAGCCAGCCAGACTCTTGACCAAAGTCAGTCAACCAAAGGGAAATGATCCCACATTTGGCACTACTTTTCTTTCAGACTCTTCCACTCATTTCAAGTAAGAACCTGAAGGTGGAAAGACTGAGCTGACAAGTCTCTTAGAGCCCTGGCCTCCAGTGCTCCTCTAACATGGTTCAACACTGCAAATCAGAAAATCAGGAAGCAAACATGTCTCATGTTATTATGAACCATCAAACAACTTTTGATGATAAAGCTCAACTATGATGTACATTAAAGAATCATATCAGGTGGTACAGAGGAAACAAGAGTGGAGAAACATGGTTACCCAAATCTGCACAAATTCTGTCATGCAGCAGGTAATCTATGAATTAATGGAACATTGTATTTAGCTCAGGAATCCCTAAATACCAAAAGTCAAATTGGTATTTTGGGGACACAAACAGACTTTTCTTTGGAGTTTTATCATATATCTCTCTCCACTGAGTCCTCCCAGGGCAAACCTTTTTTTTCTTTGAGACAGGGTTTCTCTACATAGCCTTGGCTGTTCTGACCAAGCTGGCCTCAAACTCAGAGATCCACCTGCTTCTGCCTCCTGAATGCTGCCCTTTTAATTTTCTGATGTGTTAAACACTTTTCATAGGTACCTAAGCTGATAGAATGCAAATATAACAGGTCATATAGCTATGATTTCATATCATAGCAAACTAAGATTGCTTAAACACTGATCCTAATTTCCTCTGTCTCAGGATCAGTACTGTTTCTAGAATATATTGGTAGGTGTTATAGATTGAGTTGCATCTGCCTCAAATTTGTATGTGGAAGTCCAAACCCTAAGCGTTAGAGCTGAGACTACAAGTGGAAGGAAAATGAAGAACATGAGGGGAATCACTGTTGTTCAACAGGGACCGAACCAAGGCAAGCTGGATCACTGATACCAGAAGGTTATGACACTGAAAATCTCTACTTTCAGCAGCAAAGTAAAATAGAATTTTACAAAGGAGAAAAGCAAAGGGCAGAGTCACTTTGGGAAGTATTGGTGAAGTCTGGGGACCTCCTCTCTCCCGGTGCAGCATACAGCCTTCAGTGTTTTAAAGTGAAGAAGAAGAAGGTGGGTGAAGACAAAGGTTGCATCCATGACACAGGTTAAGACATGGAGTGCTGAAATTTTCTCTTTTGTGCACTTGGAGCAATGATGGGAAGTCTATCTATCTATCTATCTATCTATCTATCTATCTATCTATCATCTATCTATCTATCTTATCTATCTGTCTGTCTGTCTACTTATTTATCTATGATATTTTTATTTTTAGAAAGGGCCTCATTATGTAGCCCTGACTGACCTGTAACCTGATATGTAGACCAGGCTGGCCTCAAGCTCACAGAGATCTGCCTGCCTCCAGGAGCACTGGATTCAAATATGTGTGCTATCACACTTATGCTGAGTCAGCACTCTTCTACACCCTGAACCATGCACTCTGGGAACCCAGAGAAAGAGAAAGTATAATGATATATATCTACATATATCCTGGGAACTGACTAGCATAGAACCTGCTGATTGGGAAAAAAACCTGATAGTATCAGAGCCCTGTAGTATTTAGTGAACTGGAAACTGGTAAGAACTAGCAACTATGAGGCAACAGAGAGGTAAGATCAAAATGCATATACCTGACATTGAGATGGACCATCCAGAGGTATGTCTAGCTCTTGTGACCTGACTGACCCATGAAGGCTGTATTTCCAAACTCTGTTCTGTTAAACTTTGGTACAGTCAAATGACATACAGAAGAGTTCCCATAATCAACAGATTTGAAAAACACTTGCTGTAATGCCTTCCTTTAGACAACCAGAGTGAATGGTACTCTAAAGCAGTGGTTCTCAAGCTGTGAGTCACGGCCCCTTTTGGGTTTGCACATCAATATCTTGCATATAAGATATTTATTCTACTATTCACAAAAGTAGAAAACTTAGTTATAACAACAAAATAAACTTATGGTTGGGGCTTACCACGAGTCTAAGTGCTCTAAACAAACTCCAGCAAGAGCCCCCTTTAAAAGGTTTCCATTTCAAAAGTTAATCAGCTTTTTTTTGGACTAGTGCGATAGTAGAATTTGCATGTAGACTACAGTGTTGACTTAAGAGCTTGCTAAGACTTCTCAGCAAGATTAGGGATGAAAATGTTTATTACCGCAGGTTGATTTTCCTATGAGTTGTTAAAAACTTGTGTGTGCACATGTGCTTGTGTGTGCATGCATCTGTGTGCACATGGATGTAGAGGCAGCCAGAGGATAACATGGATGTCATCCTCAGAAACATTGTGTGTGTGACCTTTTTCTCTCCCCTTCTCTCGCCTCTCTCTTACTCCTTCACTCCTCAGTCTCCCACTTCCCCCCTCCCCTCTCTCTCCTCCCTCTTTCCCCACTTGCTCTCTTTACTCTCTATCACTTTCTTCTATCCCCCTTTTCCTTTTTCCTCTCTCTCTCTCTCTCTCTCTCTCTCTCTCTCTCTCTCTCTCTCTCTCCCTGTCTCTTTTCTGTCTCTCCCCTTCCTCCCTCTGTACTCCTCCCCTTTCTCTTTGCACTCTCTCCTCTCCTACCTTTTCCTCTTCTCTTCCCCTTCTCCCCACTACACACCTCTCCCAATCCTATCTTCCATCTCTTTCCCTCTTTCCTTCTCTTCCCTCTCTTTTATTTCCTTGCATTCATCTTTCTCCCATCTCATGCTCTTCTCTCTCCCTCATTACCTGTACACTTAGATTTTTCAAAACCTACTTTAATAAGGGTTCTCAAATACTTCCAAAGGTAGTAGAGAAAAGATGGTAAACAGGACAAGGGGATGTGGGTGGGCCTGTTTAGAAGTAGATCTTTGTGGGTGATTTCAATCTCTGTTGTGCAGATACTGACTGTCCAGTTCAAAAGCACCAGGCATGAATCAGCAATGATAGCTGTAACCAGAAAAAACTGTTAGGCCTTCATCAAATCAGCACGAGTTAGTGGGAGTGACCAGGACAAGCAGAATGGCAGGAGTTCTCTGCAGTGCTTCTCTCAGTGAACTGAAGATCATCGAAGATGCAAGACCAATGAAGAGTCGCACGACTAGCTATGCAAGCGCTCATGTCACTGTTGAATCCTACTTATACTCTCCCCAAACATCACATGTCGTTTCATGGGTCCTACCTCAGCAAAACATCATGTGAGTCTGTATCACGTGAGACAAGCAGAAATTTCCACTTCACTTACCCTCACCCTCGCCTCTCAGTCCCCACTCTTTTCTGTTTCTCTTCTCTCCACCGTATATTTCACTCTTTCTCTATTATCTCTTCTCTCTTATCTGTACTCTTCCCTCTCCTTTCCTCGATTGCTCATTTCTTCCATTTCTCTCCTCTGTCTTCTCCCTTCTCTGTATCTTCTCTCTCCTCTGTCTTTCCTTCCCTCTCCTCTATCACTGTTATTTCTTTCTCCCCACTCCCCCCTCTCTACTCTCTGTCCCTCCTCTCCTTCCTGTCTATCTCGCCTCTCCTAATTCTCTCTTTTCTTGACTCTTTCCTCTCTTGTTCCATCTCTAGCTTCTCTCACACCCTTTTCTCTCTTCCCTCCCTCTTTTCTCCCTCCTTCTTTCTATCTTCTCTCTTACTTATGCTCTCTCTCCCTGTCGCTCTTCCCTCCCCCTGTATCCTCCTCTCCCATCCCCATTCTCTCATATCCTTCCTCTCTCTTGCCTCTCTCTCCTCTAATTCTCTTTTCTCTCCGACTCCTCACTCTCACTCTATCCTCTCTCCCACTCACATATTTTCTCCATATTTCACTCCCTACTTTTGATCTTTTCTGCCCTCCATTCCCTGCACACTTACTTCTTTCTCCTCAGTCCTCCATTTTTCTCCTCCTTCTTCCTCATGCTCCCTACTCCTCTCACTTTACTCTCCCTCTCCCTGTATTCTCTATTCTCTCTCTACACTTACTTTCACCCCTTCACCCTTTCTCGCCTCTCTCCTTTCTGTATTGACTTACTTGTAGCTTACTCCTCCCTTTCTCTTCTCCCCCTCTCTCCTATACCTCTCTCTCCTACTCCCC